TTGTCCAATAGGTTCTGGGAAATTAAGACAGGGCCAGCTTTTACTGAAATAAAGCTTATTATGATAGTGGAGATCATGCTAACTCTGGCTAATATTTTTAGTCAGATAAAATCCTTTGTTCTTTGGGATGCAAGTCCATGTCAAGTCAACACTTTGTTCCTGAAGTTTCTTCTCCTGACTGTTGAGATGAGAGCCTATAAAGCTTTGACCTAAAAAAGCACAATAAATCTCCAGGATACTGTTAGAAATGAAATGTTACATTTTATCTCATGGTTATTATCATGATGGGGGAGAAAAAAGAATAACAAAACTACAATGGTAAGAGAGATTGCACTTGATCAGCTTTGGACTTGCTAACAGAGGTCGCACAGAGACATTTGTCATTGCTTCTGCTTAATGGCAATTCATAAGATCAAATAGAATTTTTTAACATTGTTAATGTTTTATTTAAAAAAAACAACCTAACCAAGTATGACATATGGTCATGTTTATTTTACTAGCTATATGAGACTGTTGTACGTGTTGCCCCCTTCCACTCACCCGCCTAATTAACTAAAAATTAATCCGAGGTTACAGTATCCTCTGGATCGTAGGAGAAATAGACTGGTTTCAAACATGAGGCATCTTGGGTTTCATTACTGCTATTTTTAGATTTGATTGCCTATTAAGACTGAATGTGGATTGATTCACGTTGAATACACAAAGGAGAATTCGAATGATTAAGTAATACACCACAGGTACACTTTTTGATAGGCATCACATGAGTAGCATCTATGTTATCAAGGAAGATAAAGCTTATGCTCTGTGTGTGTAAGTCAAGTCAACTCTGCTAATGCTGCATTATGATTCAAGACAAGACATTCTGCTACAGATCTGCACGTTAATCCAGCCATACTCTAATCTTTGTCCATTGAGTGCAAGGTCCATTTTAGGTGCTCAGCTCCATGTGAACTCCCATGCTGTGGATAAAGTGAGGCTAGGATTTGGACCTGTGTGTGTGTGTGTGTGTTCTGTAGAATGAAAGCTTCTACATAGCTCTCTGCGTACACATTCAAGGCCAGATCATCCCCTCCTGCAGTAAAACACACAGGAGGGGGCTCTGATACAGATCCCTCCATGTCATCTCATCCAGAGAAAGACCTCCCATTCCCTTAGAAAGGACTGCAGGGCTAGCCTGTAAACCTGGCAAATCCTTTGTGCATCTGCACCAGCTCTGGCCTCTGGTAGTCTCCTGAGGCATGCAAGGCCCAAGTCTTCTTGGGCTCCTCCCCTCTTCCTCCCACCCCCCAAGAGATGGTCTGTGGAAAAGGTAATGGAGCCTCATGTTGTCTGGAGAATCTATGTGGGTCTGGAGAGGGATGATGGGCATTCCTGCACCCCCTGTATAGCAAACGTCTTCCACATCAACCTGTCCAGCCTCTACCCCTCCCATGAGCATGTACCCTGGACCCAATAAACTTCATCTGTGGGGTCTGGAGGCAGGGACCAGTGCTGTGGAGGCAGCTGAGATCTGCACATGGACAGCCTGCTGTGATGGCTTGATGCAAGCCCATTGAAGTCGATGAGAATCTTCCCATTGTCTTCAATGAGCTTTGGATCAGGCCTTGTTTGTGAACACTGGGGAGAATGGTCCAGGCCTTACGTGGAGAGCCACGATATCTGGTTTTGTCTCTCGTAGATGTTAACATTTTGTGCTTCTTTCCCTTATATTTTAAACATGGCTAACACCTTTTAATATATCTGAATATATGTGGCCTGCATGCAGCCCCCTCTTGAAAAACAACTTCTCTGATTAAAGTGCAGACAGTATAACTGTTATCGCAAGAATGTGCTTCTTTCATGGCTGTATTAAATAAGCAAAGGTCTCAAATGCCACGTTTCAAACTTTGTAACTGGATGCTTTTAAAGATTATTGATCATCATCATGTAACATCATGTTATTACTTTCCAAAAATTACTAAAAAAATTACTTCAACTGAGCCTACTTCTGTTCTCCTTCTCTTGCCACTTTCTGCCACTCCTCTAACCTATTCATTCACCATCATAATGTTTCAAAATGACCAAAACCTCAGTTCTTGCTAATTATACACTACATGCACAGCGTGATGTCATAGTCTCATAATCACAGGTTATTTGACAGTCCTGCAGCCTGGTTTATTTGATACCACTTTTTGTTTTACTAATGACATGTCAGGAAAAGTCCCACTTATTGTCTGTCTGTAATTCCCCCCCTCCCCCTTCACCCACATACACAGTTCGATCCTTCTACCCATTGACGTCAATAAGAGATTTGCCATTGACTGCAGCAGGAGTGTTAATAGGGCCATAGTGTCCACAGAACTTGACTTGTTTACCTTTTTTTGGACAGAAGAACTTAAGCACATAGAGTTGTAGGGTCCCCTCTGCTTATATGGGTGGAAGAGAGCTGAAGATGCTGGCAGAGCTAGGAGGAGTCTGTGGTTCAGCTGCATACTCTCACTCTGCCTCAGAGTCCCTCCCACAAACCACCAGGTTGAGGCTCCGTGACCGTTAGAATTGGGCATATTGCAGGTGGGAGAGGGTAAAGCCAGAGGGATGACCACTATAAGTGGCACATAGTCCTCCCAACCTAGTTGATATCTGATCAGAAATTTAGGTGAGAGTTAATGGTTATCCAGCTGGCACGAATTCCACATCATGGCTTCTGCTCCCCATGGGTGGTGGTCTTGTGGAGTAGGGTTCAGAAGGAGGTGGAAAGGGCCAGTGGCATAAAGGCATGTGGTGAAGCTTTGCTGCCAATTTTCCATGATACAACTGGTTTTCTGGGTCTAGGGCTCTATTTTGAAGTCTTTCCTCAGGCCAAGATTACAAAACTCTTCCCTTCAGGAAAGAAGGGAAAAAATGCAACATGATTCACCTTATAAAGTTTCCAGTGGGCTTTTTTTCTCCCATTTTTCCCCTCCTCCCATGGTAGAGGACAATTAAGATCATAGTAACTTATGCAAGAAAATTAATTAGCTTCATCATGGAAGTTATCACGAAAACTACATGTTTGATGGCTGAATAAAGCTAAGAGTTTTTGTTTCCAACTCTGTTCTCAGAGCTCCTGTCATTCATTATATTTAGTTCATTATGAAATTGTATTGTTTTGTTTTCCTACTTGGACATAGCACATAAGATCATTTTGATCCGTAGCCTTAAAGACAGTTTAATTAAAGTATTATTTATGAATTCTCGGTATCATAGTGTTCTAATAATCTGAAATGCTTGTGGTTTCTTTGCACACTTAAAATCCATCTTTGTGGTCAAGTACCTCTTGGATGATTGAGCAAACTGGCCCTATTTCATATTTTTCTATTAAAAATTATTGGGAAGCCATTTGATAATACATAAGCTAAATTCTAAGGCCACAATGAAAGCCAATTTTATTTCCTGCCCTAAAAATAGTTTTAATGTACCACAAGTTCCATGCTCATTACAATTCACAAAGGAATTAGTATGTTACTTATCACTTTCCTGCTGTTTGTTCTGTTCTTTACTTTTCTTTTCTTGTTTTTTTCTATTTTATTTTTTTTAACAGCATACTGCTCTTATGTTTCCTCAGCACATTGTTAAGCTGAACCTGGGCAAGAAGCTGATTGATATGGCTCTTTGTGCCCTCACTAAATAGCAAAACATACAGTATATTGTGTCTGCACTTGGGGGGGAAAATGGAATGTAATTAAATCTGTTTCAACTTGAGTAATGTGACATTTCTGTTCCTTTCATGTCAGACTTTATTCTCTTCTATAATCAGATTTCATAACCTCATTTATTATGTTTTCTCATTTGAATAGTCTTTAAATAAATGTAAGGGTTGTGTTGCTAGCTAACTAGTGACTATTAATGTGCCTATGTTGACTTTTTCCAAATCTTTTGGGTTTGGTGGTATGGATCCCCCAGGCTTGCAGGAGGGCATCTTTATTTGCCAGGTACTTGACTAATAGGTAAAGAGTAATTCTTTCATGACCTTACGTGAACCTCACACATCTAAAATACAGGGGACTGTGCTGTTTCCTCTAATAAATATAATACCAGGAAGAGCCTGTGTACAAGCAGACAGAGCTTTTTTTTAAAAAGTGCATGCATAGACAACCTCTGTGAAATCAGTATTCAACAAAACAGATATTTGTTAATACAAGGGGTAAGATTTGCCATCCTTTAGTGGCAGTGCCTATCAGAAGAGGCATGAAAATCTGGAAAAAAAAAAAAAAAAAAATCATCTAGCTCTTTTTCATAAGAGCAAATTGCACAACTGCACAAAAGGAAAACTAAACACACTAAAGCATTTGTAGAGACTGGTGGACATTTAAAAGGGGCACTGGCAAGGAGTGTCAAAGTCAACCTAACTTAAAGACCTTTTAGTGTGTGGAAAATAGTCTCAATTTCAATGAAAACTGTGTTATTGTTTTTTTTAATAAAAAACTCAGCGAACTCCTATAAACCTTTTGGGAGGAAACCCTATCTGCATCATATTTGCAAATCATTTTGGACAACCAGAGATCGTTGTTTATACCCTAATATTTTGTTTGTTTTTAGCTCCCCTATCCTATTCCCTGCCCCTGTCTCCCCATTACCCCCCTACACTGTTGTTTCCTATAATTAGTCCAGATACACATCTAGCTCCAGACTATCACCTAACCACCAAGGCCATATGGATAAATGGAATATAATTACAATTTGGTAGAAACTGAGTGTTCTGCTTGTAAAAGTATTGTTCTTGTGTTGTTTTAAATCAGGTAAATTCAACGTGTGATACGGTGGGGTTTATGGATTGGAGATCGTTTTCTGCAAAATATATTCCTTATTTTTACATTTGAAACCTTTTTAAAAAAACTTGGATCAGGGGGGCAATTATATGATGGTGGAACCATGAGAAATTGTTACCATAAAATACAAATGCCCTGCAGATTGTATAGAAATCTGGCTCATTACATACAAATATTAACAGAGGTCATTTTTTTTGTCCCCCTCTTTTTCAGTTATTTTTATTTCAGTTGCTGCGAGGACTGTCTTACATCCACCAGCGTTACATTTTGCACAGGGACCTGAAACCACAGAACCTTCTGATCAGTGACACGGGGGAATTAAAGCTGGCAGACTTTGGTAGGAAAGCAGTTAATTAAAAGTCTATTTTATAATGTTCTGGGAATGGCAGACAGATGGTTTCATTGATTTTCCTGTTCCTAGACACACCTACTTTATTGCAGATAATTGTAATTTTTTCTCCAGAGCTAAGAAATTGATTATGGTCGACATAATACTTGATTAAAAGGAGTGAGTGGAAAATAAATAAATACTCCAAATCCTACTAGAAAGGGATGATAACACTGAAAGGAGTTCAGTTCTCGTTATCTTCATAACTTAAGATTTAGGATTTAGAAGAGAACCTTTGAAAAGGCCTAAGGACGTATAGGTCATGTCTAGTGGACAATCATTTGTGTGTGTAGTCCTGGGGACATAAAGATCTGGAAGTAAGATTTAACTCTCATGAAATGACCAATAATTGAATGAGGCTTGAGGAAATAAGAAATCCGTAATGTTCTTCCTGATGATTAGAAGAAACAAGGATTATATGGACTGTTTTCAGTATCCATTGTTGATCCCTTGTCGGGCGACTCTTTGTAAAGCATCTAGGTATAAGACATTGTTCACCCCTTCCTTGTAAGCATGTCCCTTCTCAACACTTCCTTGAAAACCCTCCTTTTCTAGCAGTTATTGTAGCAGTGCCTCTTCCTCTAAAGGGTAGTGCCAGTGTGGATGTGGAAAATGGTAATGCTTTCCTTGGGGTTTGTCTGCACTTACAGTGGCGCAGCTGCACTTAGTGAAGGTGCTACCGTCGCTGCTGGGAGAGCTTCTCCTGTCAGTGTAGGTGCTCCACCTCCACACGTAGACACAGCGCTCTCTACATAGGGCTGGCTCCAGCTTTTCTGCTGCCCCAAGCAGCAAAAAAAAAAGAGCGGCGGCACTTCGGCGGCAGCTCAATCGCGCCGCTTCTTCTGTGGCAGTTCAGCAGCGGGTCCTCCCTCTCTTCCTCTTCGGCGGCAGCTCAAAGAGGAAGAGAGGGAATGAGGGACCCGCCACCGAAGACCCGGATGTGCCGCCCCGATACCGGATGGAGTGACGCCACTTTGAATTGGCCGCCCCAAGCACCCGCTTCCTACGCGGGTGCCTGGAGCCAGCCCTGTCTCTGCAGCATGGGTTAGGTTGGTATAACTACATTGCTCAGGGGTATGGATTTTCTATACCCCTGAGTGACGTAGTTATACCAACATAAGTTCCTAGTGTAGACCAAGTCTTGGTGACTTTAAAAAAACACTTTGTCTTATCAAGTGTAAGCTTCCAAATGCTGACAAAGTGCTTGAGGAGTTCCACATCTTACTCTGGACCAGATTCTCAGCTAATGAAAATCCGCATAACTCCGTCCATTTCAATGGTACTACATCAGCATATGATGAGATGAGAATGTGGCCCATCAGCTTCTTGAGGTGCCTTTTTTTTTTTTTTTTTTTAAAAGCCCACCCTATACTCTCGGCTTCCCATTCTATTTACCAAGTGTAGTGAGGGTGCCTTACATGCTAATTGACAATTTCACTAGTAATTTAGTGGCGATTTTGTCTGTAATTAAAGTTACTGGGAGTAACAGCTGTGTGCGCGCTTATGTGCTGGGGAAAGAAATCGAGCTTCATATGATCACAGTTCACATAAATTTGATTAGTCTGTAGATTGTGAAGCAGCTTAAAGAAACACTGTCCGAAACCAGTCATGTATAGCCTTGCTCACCATTTTCTGTTGCTATTTTTTAATACTTGGAAGATGCTACAAGGTTTGAACAAGAAATGTTTTTTTAAAAGAAAATTCAAAGACTTCTGCTCTCCAGGGTGATATATTGTAGAATAAAATTCCATGTCTTAGAGAAATTCATGAAACATAGGGGGATCATTAGGTATTTATGCTTGCAGTGAAATATACATTAGTGCTCTGATGAAATATATGCAGTTTAAGGTGACTTATTTTCTTGGTTGAAATCGCTCGTTTTGCCATATCTGTTAAATATATAGAGATCCAAGGATGATATGAAAGTAACTTGAGTTATAGTCTTATAAGAATCTAAACACCTCAAGGGTAGAGTTGACAAAATAGCTGATTTATTGGTTCAGTAGCCAAACTGAAAATCAGAAAAAAAAATTGGTTAGTTTTGAACTAAAAAAGTATGGTGTTTTGTTTTTCTTCACAAAATGAAAAATCACAAATATATTCTGGCGGAATGAAAAATTCTGACATTTCTGAATTTTTAAAAAGTTTTTTTTTTTTTTTTGGCTAAAACTATTTACTGAATTTGACTTAAAATCACAAATAGTTTTGATATCTTGAACAATACATTTTCTGGCAAATTTACTACATTTTTTAGACATGACAATAGGAAACCCAGCTGTAGTTTCAAACTTCTGGCTTTCATAGAATCATAGAATATCAGGGTTGGAAGGGACCTCAGGAGGTCATCTAGTCCAACCCCCTGCTCAAAGCAGGACCAATTCCCAACTAAATCATCCCAGCCAGGGCTTTGTCAAGCCGGGCCTTAAAAACCTCCAAGGAAGGAGATTCCACCACCTCCCTAGGTAACGCATTCCAGTGCTTCACCACCCTCCTAGTGAAATAGTGTTTCCTAATATCCAGCGTAGACCTCCCGCACTGCAGCTTGAGACCATTGCTCCTTGTTCTGTCATCTGCCACCACTGAGAACAGCCGAGCTCCATCTTCTTTGGAACCCCCCTTCAGGTAGTTGAAAGCAGCTATCAAATCCCCCCTCATTCTTCTCTTCTGGAGACTAAACAATCCCAGTTCCCTCAGCCTCTCCTCATAAGTCATGTGCTCCAGACCCCTAATCATTTTTGTTGCCCTCCGCTGGACTCTTTCCAATTTTTCCACATCCTTCTTGTAGTGTGGGGCCCAAAACTGGACACACTACTCCAGATGTACTTTGTAGTTATTACTTTGATTATGAGCTCTGTGGGGCAAGGACTGCCTTTCACATATCTCTGTACAGTGCCTAGCACAATAGTGTCCTGGTCTATGACTGTGATTGTAATACAAATAAATAATATATAGTTCTCATCTGAAAAGAACCTTTGTTAGGTCGGGGGAGGGATTTAAATAAAAATGAAAAATTATAAGAGATGTAAAAATTGCTTTAGTTCATGGCCGGTGGGAATCAGCTTAAGTTTTAGCTGAGCCTAATGAAATTCTTTCCCGTTTATGAAGTCACTGCACATCCTACTTGTCCAGTTTGACAGGCATAGATCTGCCAGAATAGTTGGCGTGAACTGATTATACGTCTCATTGTAACACACAGAACATAATCCTCCAAAAACCTTCCTAAACATCAGGGATAGAAGAAAATTATGGACATTTAAAAAAAAGAAAGTGTCAGCAATGTTTGCTGAATTCTGCAATAGCCTGTAAATTCCCCTTGCATACACTAGACTGGGTCTAGGTTACACCATCCTCCCTTGGGGTAGAGAGCAAGCAAATAGGTTATCAAAATTTAAAAAATTCACCAACTCTGGTAAGTACCTCATTGAACTGGAAACACAAAATCACAAGAGACACTTCCCAGTTTCTGGCAGGCCACTTGAACACTTCTAGGTTACATTGTCTGATGTCGTGGTTTGCACAGAGTAGAAGAGTAGATGAGACATTCCCTGTTTTCACTATGTTACCAGCCTTCACCCCCTCAGGTAAGGAAATGCCCAAATTACATATTTCTGGTGAGATCCTGGCCCCAGTGCAGTCCACAGCAAAACTTCCATTGATTTCAGTGGGGCCAGCGTTTCACCTCTTTGTGTTGACAAGAAATCTAGGCTTGCATGTAAGGCTTGAAAGCGCACAGTCCATAAATGAAGAACAGGTAGCGATAGTATACGTAAAAGAAAAAGCCCTTACAATATTCAGTGCCCATATTTCTGTTGCAGTATGATGGTGTCAGGGAGAATTTTTAAACCCTTATGTTTGTCTTGATTAACCAAAAAAATCTATGGACTCCTCTATAACTGACATACTGAGAGAAGATTTTTTTTTTTTTTGAAGTTATTTTTTCCCTCACGGCTCATGACCTTGTGAAATGGAAAACCAGACGGGTTAAATTTCCTTCCAGAAAATCAAGATGAAAAATTAAAAACTATGAGGTAAAGAGCTGGAGGGTTATGACCCCTTTCACTGACGGCATGGGAAATGAGAAGACAAATATCCCTCTCTTTTTATAATACGATGCAATTATAAAAAATAAATGACACTCTTCTACCAAAGACATAAAATGAAACCTTTTTGCTGTTGGAGCTCTAGCTCCCGCAGGCGGCTACTTCTCTAGAAGGTTCTTGGGAGGGAAATTTGTGTAAATTATATTTGGGATTAATGACAGTACATTAGGGTGCCTCTCTCTCTTTTTTTTTTTTTTTTTTAAGATTGAAGAGAAGCCGAGGAGAAATGAGCTTGTGTCAGAGACAGGATTGACTTTGCCACTGCAATAAATATAAAATCTTAGACTAACGGCCTTTCAGTCCCAGAAGAGAAGACCTTCAGAGTTTGGTTTCATAAGTTTACAAAAATCAACAGTGCAGCCCTAGTTTTTAATTCAGTCTCAGTTTTCTGTTATTCCCTCAGCCTAAGATATCAAATACTCAGAAGTTGGCTTTGGTAGATCATTGTTCTTGGATAAACATGCTGAAGGAAAAGCACTCCTGCTTGCTAGTGCATCACATTGCAGCGGAGATGGAATCTTTGAGTAACTGTAGGCACAACCCCTTTTTTTTTTTTAAATTGTAGAGAGTTCCCAGATGTTGATACTCTTATGTGTGTGTCATTCTTCAAAGCAAAGAAGTAACCAAAGGAGGTTTGCTTTTTTATTGTGCCTATTGAAAGAGCATTTATGAGAAGAGAGACCCAGCAATGAAAGGAAAAGGGAGAACAGACCAGAGACTGTATCAAATTAAAAATTGATAAAGTATAAAAAATTGCTTTCATGACATTGTATGAGATGGAAGAATATGTTTAGAATAATTGTTGCTACACAAAGTAGACAAGAAGAAAACTCCACTTTTTCTTTCTAT